GCCACTAAGGTGGAGGCCATCGCTATTAGGATGGAGGCCATCGCTAGGTGGAGGCCATCGCTACTAGGGAGGAGGCCATCGCTAGCTGCTAGTGGGGACCTCTTATGACTTGGAGGCCTGGATCTGATGGGATGTTATCACCAAGCAGGACCCCTACGCCTGTGACCTCTGTGAGTGACCTTAGGTCAGGGGAGCACGGGTGTCCGTTAAGCCTTTGTGGAGCATTTGAGAATTTTTGAGAATGGCTATCGGCTGGTGATACCCGCAACTACTTCGCAGGGATTTCAAGTGTAGAGCCCCTGATGTCTGAATTAACATCTTACTATCAATGACTAATATCGGACCAGTAAGTGTCTCCTACAAACCATGCCATACGGCGTGGGGTTAAGGGAACAAACGGTCTAATGCAAATGTTGCTCTGCCGGCACTACCGTCATCACCAGGTGGGTTGGGGGCACCTTTCAGATTACTATGAGAATCGGGTCAGGATACACCTGTAGGATCCTGTAAGGGGCTTTCATCCGGTGCCCAGTCTGGACCCTAAGGACTGCTTGAGGGTATGGCTGGTGGGACAATTTGAGGGACCGCCGCCATGTTGAGGGGTTGTTCAACTGTCAGGGGCGGATGCTTTACCAACTTTATTATTACTAAAGGTATATAAATATAATATAACTCAATGTTTCTGCGACATTCTTCCCCGCCTCTCGCAGGTTGCCCACGCGAGGCCGTCCGGGCACGCTTAGCTTCCCTCTCCTCCTTCTCCTCCTTAGCCTGGCTGCAATGTTGTCCCAGAAACGTGATAATAATGATGCTAAAAATGTCTACAACAATCTATCAACAATGTTAGAAACAAATTGAACAATGCATAACAATGCTATCCACACAATCAAAGACGACTTAGTTGACCTCAACAAGTTCATTCTGCAAGCACGGAGGACGGAGTGCTGTCACGTGGTATGGACGTACCTGCTGGGACGTACCTGCCCGAACCCAAATATGGATGGCACGGAGTTTGTGGCTTGACATGTTGATATGTTCCAGCTCTGATTGTTTCAGATGTAACGTAAGGTCATGAACTATGAGCTGCCGACTGCGAATCGACCGCGGGGTTGGTGGATTTCCGCAGGCGTGTGAGCGCCAAACATGAGGGTGATCCAACTCGTGGGACATGGGTTTCGCTGGCTGAAGACTTCGACTCTTGGCAAGCCTTCACCCACAAGGTCCAGAGTCTGGCCTTGTCAAAAAACGATCAAATGAAATCCTGTGAAATACTTGCCGGTACACCACGTGGCACAGAATTTTGCTAGTAAAAGTGCAGCCCCAAGTGACGCCTGATCCAAATCGGCACCCCACAAATCTCTACAAACTCAAACGCCCACCTCCACTCTCTGAGCGATGGCCTCCAAGCTATAGTTAATTACTAGTGATGGCCTCCAACCCACGAGCGATGGCCTCCAACCTAATAGCAATGGCCTCCAACCTATTAGCAACGGCCTCCAACCTACTAGCGATGGCCTCCAATCTATATAGTTACTAGAGAATGGCCTTCACAAATCCCTACCAGTCAAACGCCCGCCTCCAACTCTCTCAGCGTCGTCAAGATGGGACCATCTCCCTTCGGCTGCGGTAGCTCGATGCAACGGGTCACTTCGCCACTGCTGCTGCGGGGCTGCTCGAAATACTCCTAGCATCAGTGTGGGGCGGGGAGTCGTCAAGTGTGAACACCTAGATCACCTAGTCTCAATGGAAAAAACTCCATTAAAACCCAGACCAATCGCACGAACAGGACCCGGGTCAGCGCTAGGGAGATCAAAGTGGACACAAGTTCGGCTGCTCAATGATGTGTGTTTTAAGCACTCCTTATAGAAAAGGCTGACTGACCAAGAGCCTTTGGCTTGGACAAACACCCGATCACGACACCCTCCGTTGCCTTCCTGTTGTGCATTCGGCGCTCCTCCCTGGGGTGATTGTCGAACTCGAAACTGCTGATAGCTGGCCGGTGGCGGTCAGCAAAGCCTCTGTGGACGAGCTGGCGCTAGTCAAACCACCCTGAGGCCTTGGGTCTATCCTACACAAGTATATACAAGTAACAAATGATGCTGGTATATAATGGCCTAACAGTAAAGGTCCTAGTACCAGTAACCAAGGCCTAACATTAAATAATGATGCCTGGTATAAGCGTCCTATTACCAGGTTTCAGTGGATGATGATGGTTACTAAAGGCCTTGCTGACGGTTACAGGCAATAGGACGGACAAACCCAACCTGTACCGTACCCTTTTACGCAACTGACGCCCAGACACCCAGCCCTTCTGCGTACTCGTTCTTGTCGCTGTCGCTGGAGCTGCTCTCATCACTCGAGTCGCTCCCACTCAGTGCTAACGGGGAGGTCGTCGAACAAGCACGCAAGGGGAGGAGAACTGGCATGGCAGCAGCCCGAGATGTGCTCAGCTGTGTCACACAAAAATCAAGCACGTCCAAATCCAAATGCCTACGTAGCTTCTACAAGCTTCAACGGTGCAGTGTGAAGAAGTCTTCGTCTTGCAAACCACCCATCCGCCAGAAATGACATGAAAACACGTTCAAAGCTTTACTTCGTTCGGTGGCACATTACATTTCGACTCCTTTGACCCTAAAGTTGTTCAGGTGGCCATGTGGAAATCGCGAAGTTTTGCAATTCATTAGAACTGTTTCTGCCAGTCAGTCAGTCTTGACAGTTTAGAATGGTTACCATCCTTTTCTGCGAGCCCAAGGCTAGCAAGCAGCTGCAGGGGAAACGCTAGCTTTGTGCGGACATGGCCTACGCCCCAGGCTTCCGGGCACAAATGGCTGCCAGTTAGACTCATTGGCAAAGGGAAACCAACCAAATGCCCTGGCGCTGTAGATAGGTCTTTCTTTCAAAGCTAAAGCCCAATCACTACAGCTTTAGGGTGGGTAAGGGAATGGCTTGGCGCGTAGCTTCCTGGTTGTGGAGAACGGGGGGACGGAGGGAAAACACATTAAACAAAAAGTGTGGAACATAAAACATCCGAAAGATATCCGAAAGACAATGATGGGGAGAGCTTGGTGTTTAAGAGTTGCAGCCTTTGAGATGAACTTCACATTGTTCTTCACTCTTTCATACCGCCAGGCAGGCCAACTTTGGACACAAAGGGCAGGGCCGGGCAGGGGGCGATGCCTAGACTGATGCCTGGAGTCTTGGCACGATCATAAGGGACCAGTTGGGGACTCCACCCCCAAGAACCTTCGGATCCGGTTGGAAGGTGAACGTTTTGAGCAACACGGCCGTGCGTCAACGTTCTCAAACAGCTGCGCTCACAGTCTGGAGCCGCACTCCGCAGGAAAAGATTAGAGCGGGGACGTCATAACCATGGGAGCCCACTGCTTTGGATTTTAAGTCATCGTCTAAGTGAACGCACAACGCGACGTCGCTACGTGTGGCTATCTGCAGTGTTAAGTATTGCATCATTATCCCTCATGAGGGACAAAGAAGGACCCCTTCAAAAAGGGATCTCCTTTCAATCAGGGACCTCCGTCCATGGCTGACCTCAACCCAGCTAATAATCCCTCTCAGCTATGCCGCTTCGCCGCTGCCTTCGCCCGCGGCGTCGCTGCTTTCACTCGTGTGTTGGGTGCCTTCGCACGTCCTGCCTTCGAAGCCGCTCTCGTTGGCTTTGCTTTCGCGCTCTGCTTTGACTTTGTCTTGGCGTGTGCTTTGTTCTTCTCCTGCGGCTTTGCCTTCGCCTTCGCCTTGGGCTTTGGCACTGCCATCTTCGGGGATGCCTTGATGGCTGCCTTCGTGTTCGCCCGGGCCTTTGGCACTGCCATTCTCTTTGGCAATGCCTTCATGGCTGACTTCGCCTTTGCCCTGGGCTTTGCTTCTGCTGGCTTCGGTGCTGCCTTCTCTTGCGGCTTCCCTGCTGCCTTTGCACGTGGCTTTGCTCCTGCCTTCCCACGCGGCTGCCACCGCCGCTTGAGCAAATCTTGCGCCAGCCTCGCGAGACTTGGGAGATTTGGCCTTGTTTGCACGGGGTGCTGTATATAACCCACTCGTCTATGGGAAATGGATGGGCTCCAGGCAGGATTTCCAAAGAGATTCTGTACTAACACTGCATGTGCACCACACGCATAAATTCTGTGAAAGTTGCATCCCCTAGTCTTGGATTTCAACAAGTGGACTCAGTAAAAACCACCCGGCGCTGCTGACGCTCAGTCAATACCTGATCGAGAGGTGTCTCAATGAACATGTTTTGTAAAAAAATTAACTGATTTCAAAGAACAACCACAGATTTCACACAGGCTTCAGTTTCCTTTGGTAAATTGGTGCTCTATGAAGTGAACCCTGTCATGACTACATTGGCCCTACACGATCCTACATGCACACAAATGCCAAGCGAGCCCCAACCTGATTTCAGGGAACCCCGACATGCCCTGGCCTTGCAATCGCGGGTGATCCTCAAAGCAACACGCGCAGCAACCAAAAAAACACCTGTCTGACAGCAGTAGAACATTGTAAAACCCGTTGCTTCGTTGTAGCAGGACCTCACAAACGGCAGATTGTCGAGACCCAACAATGTAATAATGCACATGCACAATTGCGGGGAACAAACCATTCAATTGTTTTTTGGCCCCACATGGCCGATCGGTCTAACTTCAAAATGGCCCAAAGTGTATATATAAATACAAACTATATATGTGAATAAAAAGAAATAGTGTGTTTTATCTACAGAAGGGGTGTTTGTATATAAGCTAAGGAATGTCGCTTGTATACAAAATTATACAAACATATACAAACATGTATCTATCATATATATGACATCAAGCAGTGAAACGAGCCCCTTCCTAAGCCGGCAGTCAGTTTCATCCACTTTGGTACGGTTGATGGAAAACCTTACCTACTTGAAGTCTGTCCAGTCCTCCCCAACCCAGTGGGTGTCTTTTGAACACTTCCGTCATGGTGGGTCTCTCTCTCTCTCTCTCTGGCAGGCATGACTCGTCCCAGTCTCGTCTCAACGGCAGACGCCCAACGGCCGGAACCGGGAGACGGCAAGAGACGACGTGACGCTCAACTCCAAGTCTCCATTCTCCTGCCAGTGTGAGGATGACAGCTCCATTCCTCGGGGCGGGCACAGCGAAAAGCGAGTGGGCCACTCGAAGACAGACCGGTGCGAGGCCGAATGAGATTCCGGAATCTCTGAGTTATCAACAACGTGAACAACGAGCGCAGCCTGCGTGCAACCGAGAGGAACTGCAGGAACAATTTGTTGAGGTGTTTTGGAAGGTCGTGAGTCCTGAGCTTTGATAAACATGATATCAGTGCACTGCTGTTGCTAAGAATGGCTAAGCCCTTCCCAATGTCTATCACGGATTCCGCATCCCCACCGAGGGGCGGATGCCACTTTCTTCGAGATCTGCTTGTCGCACCTTGCCATTTGCAACACGGAAACATCAAAGAACGGAGGTTTGTGTTGGCCAACGTAAAGCTAGCGGTACTCAATTCCTCTTTTGAACCCACTTAAGATTCATGGCTTCAACAAATGAAGGCTGATCTCCTGCTTTGTTCAGCGGCTGTTCTGCAACCCTTGACCAAAGCATGTGGTGGACATCTGTTGACAGCCCAAAACTCTACATGTGATTGTAAGAAATCACTTATTTGGAAGCATGTGCACGGAAATGTTGAGCAATCCCGCAACATCCCGCGGACTATCTTAAGCTCGTTCTCCTCATTCCTCCTGCTTTGGCCATCTGCCTGTGGCCAGTTTCCCCGCAGCCGCAGACTTCCCTACACTGACCGGCACAAGACGTCAAGACTCTGTCAGTTTCACCCGATTGGTTCGGCAGCTGTCAGCGCTCTCCGTCCGCCCTCGCACCTTCTTGCTCAAAAGGGCCTGTAGAATTCCCTCCGCCTCAGAATCCTTCTGTCTATCGCGCAGGCCCGTCAAATACTTCTTGTAGGAGAGGAGCTCGCTGGCAGTGGTGAACTTGGCCGCCGGGGGGGCCTAGAAGTGATCATCAGTCTGATCGAAGCAAAAACTTGATCGAGTTCTGATGTGGAGGTTGAAGGTCTGAACATGAATTGTTTGGGTGGTTGTCGTCTGTCTTTTGCATTTACTGAATGCCTGAGGACACCTTTGTATGCGCAAGAATGGCCAGAATTGCACAATTTTTGAAGAAACGTCACTGGTAGGGAAACTGGGAAACTGAACACTTACGAAATGTACAAAAACTTCACACCTGGGCACATGGGCATGCACATTCAATCTTCAAGAACATCTTGCACACCGAAACAGCCAACAAGAACCAACAGTCTGATATCGAGCCCGTGCGACATCTTGAGAGGTGGTTGGCAACCAAAACGAAACCAACACAAACCACCAGAAAGGCTTTGCCCACCATAGCTTGTGGTGTGGACACGCCGGAAATTTCCTCATTAATGTGACTAACTTGCCATTGATGAGAATACCTGGTAGCATCAAGATATGTCACACCAGCCAATCAAAAGCAACCAGCCACCCCCCGACGCCCCTTCTGACAATACGTTACTGCATGTAGCATCAATCCAACACCCAAGCATACCCACCCCGTGTGTGCTGGCAACGAACTGACAACGAAGCTGACGTCGCCAACCAAATACATGACAGTCCCGGCGGGGCGGTACCCATAAACTACTTTCAATAGTAAACTGTCCTTTCAATTCTTACTGCCTCCTAGGTTGCAATAGTAAACCGAACTTTCTCCTATACAATACAGTAATAAAGAACATCCTTCTAAGTCATTGCAAATAAATAGACCGAACTTTCTCCTCTACAGTCCTATTGCACTAAACCTATCCTCTTTTTAGCAGTCCAGTTGTAAGGTACAATGTTGATTGATTGCGAGTCGTTTATGATTGCGGCGATCAAATTCGGTCCGCCAAATTTCCACTATAGGGGTATTATTGCCATGTGAACACTTAGACGCCCTATTTGTCCTTATCATGTTCATTTTGTGTCAGCCAATGGGAGCCAAATCATCAAATTCTGAAACTGGCAAAGCCACAACACACAACTGAAATTTCCAGCCGAAGCAAGAAAACCTTGAACCTGCAACCTAACACCTCCCAGAAAACATATTAGAACAGTCCCAAAGGGATATCACCGACACTTGAAACAGAAATTGATAGAATTTGACATCGGGGGACATTCATAGCGGAATAAATGTTGCGCTCAACGTGGCTTTGAGTTTGGATCCACGTATCTCAACCAAAGCGTCGAAAAACTAGGTCCAACAATCATGTCTGTGCTCAGGGACGGCGCTTGTGCTCCTGAGCAGGCTGCTCGTGCTCCTCCAGCTCCCCCTCCTCGATCTCCTCCTCCATGTGTACTGCCTTCAGGGTACCCCGTACTCCCACCCACCTCCAAATAATTTCTTAGGTGGTCAGGGTTATATTTTCTTATTTGGCTCCCAACAAGGTGCTTTCAAATAATTATTGGTTTCTGAGTACACATGATGT